AAAAAAAAAAAAAAATCAAGGGAAATAAAATAAAAGTAAAACAGATGAAAGCAAAACATAACAAACTAGAATAAAATGGGATAGAAGAGACGGACTAATAAAACATTACTTCTTGAAAAGATAATTTATAATCCTCTAGTGAAATGATTATGTCGGGAAAATATCAATAATTTGTATCGGAAATGAAAAGAGTGACATCACCTCTGACAGTTAAATAAAGAGGATTTTATGGATAACACTATACAAATAAATCTAAATTTTGCATTAAATAAATTTCTAGAAAACTAATTCTTCTAAACTAATTTAAGAAGTAATAGAGGGCCAGGGCTATAGCTCATTGGAACAATGTCTGCCAGCAAGCACGAGATCATGAGTTCAATTTCAGGTACAAAAAAAAAGAAGTAATAGAAAACCTGAATGGATTTATAACTGTTTAAAAAAATTAACTCAGTAACCAAAAATGATTCCTCAAAGAAAATTTCAGGCCCAAATGGCTACAACAGTGAGTTTTATAAACAATCCAAGAAAGGTATCATTTCTAGCTTGTAAACCTTTTTAAAAGTAAGAAATAAAGGAGCATTCAGCAACTCCACTCATGAGGTTAGCATCACCTCAAAACCCAAAAGACAAGGGGCTGGGGATTTAGCTCAGCGGCAAAGCACCTGCCTGGCAAGCGCAAGGTCTTGAGTTCGGTTCCCGGTACCGGAGAAAAACCAAAAAAAAATAAAAAAAAAAAAACCCAAAAGACAATGGGAACACTGCAAAAAGGAGAAACAGGAAACTCATTCATTACTATAAGTGTCCCAACCCAAAGTCAGATATTAGCAGCACAGTTGCAACAAAGCAGAATGTATAATAAACCATAACCAACAGTTTCCCCAGAAATGAAAAATTAATAAAACACTGTACTTAAAAATCAATTAAAGTAAGCATATATAGTACATAATGGTGATAAACTACTAATTCTCACTAGCACTACCTCACACTTGGAGTTACATTCAGTGCAGTAGGATGAACAAATAAAAGATATAAGTACTGTAAAGGAGGAAACAAAACTGCATTTCTTCACAAATGACATTTTCACATAACTGCCATTCAAAAGAGTGTACAGATTGCACCATTAGAATTTAGCATTAGGTGTCTTGTAAAAACTGAAAATAATAAGTAGATCTTCCCTACCTCACAAGAGACACAAAGATCAATTCCAGGGCTGAAGGGCATTCCTACTGGTAAAACATTTGCTTGGTATGTGCAAGGCCCTGGGTTCAAAACACAGGGCTGGGATGGGGAAGGACAGACAGAGAGACAGAGAGAGAGAAACAGAGACAGAGACAGATAGGGGTGGGGCGGGGGGAGGACAGAAGGGAAGAGACCAAAAAAATCAATCAATTCCAGGTAGTTTAAACAATTGTAAACGGAGAGATTACAATGTTTTAAGAAGTAGTATTAGAAAATATCTTCTTGAACTCATGGTAATGAGTTCTACTCATTGAACTACTGGTAATGGACTACTACTTAATGGATTTATGGACTACTACTTAATCTAGATGGACTAATACTTAACCTAGGTAATGGACTACTACTTAACCTAGACTACTACTAAATGGACTACTACTTAACCTAGTAGTAATGGACTACTACTTAACCTAGACACAAAGCCCTAAAAGTGGAAAACGGTGATGAATTTGGTAAATTAAAATTAAAAAGCACTTAGGAAATAGCTCTATAAAAAGAATAAAGGGCAAGCCATAAAGATAGAGAATTGTTTGTAGTACGTATAGTGAGTAAAAGACTAGTACCTATAACATTTAGTTTCACAGATAAATAAGAATAAAATGAAAAAACCTTTAATAAGTATTTTTGAAATTCAGAAATAAAAATGTTAATCAGTATTTTTAAAGTGCCTGATTTCATTATTTGTCACCGAAATATGAAATCAATCCAGCAGAAGATTAGCATGTGATCGTGCGCGTGCGCACGCGTATACACACACACACACACACACTCCAACATGACAGTATAACAGACTGACACCAAATGTTATCAAGGGTGTGACACATACTGCTAACAGGAATATAACTAGGAAATCCAGTCATTCCACTTG